AAAAAATATTTTATTTATTATTTTTATTTTATGTGTATCTGTGTATTGCCTAGGTAAGTGCACCTGTGTCATGCAATCCCCGTGGAGGACAGAAGAGACTGTTGGATCCCTTGGGACTGGAGTTACAGTTAGCTGCCATGTGGGTGCTGGGATTCGAACCTGGGTCTTCTGCAAGAACAACCAGTGTTCTTAACCACTGCACTATCTCTCCAGCCCCCCACAATATCTTTTAAGGAAGCAGTATCTCAGAATATTATTCAAACAGAAAATTGGAAATTAATAGACAAAAGCTTTTGAAAAATTAAAAAAAATAGTTTTTGAGATTTCAATATATATCATGCATGTACAGAATGCTTGATTTGTTAATCTTATAGAACTACTCTGCTTTTGAAGTCTTACATGCAATGCATTTTTTTCCCTTAGGATTGACTTATACAATGTGTTTGTGTATGTATGTGTATGTATGTGTATGTGCCTATGTGTCATGCACACAAACCATTTTAAAAGACTTCTAAAGCAACAAAAACAGGATCCTGTCTCAAACAAGGTGGAGAGCAAAGATTGACACCTGAGGTTGTCTTCTAACCTCCACACATCCACACATGCATAGTGGCATGTGTGTGCCTGAGTTCACATCCCCCAACACACACCATACAAACAGCAAACATTCATTTGTTGAATCCTTCTCTTCAGTTTTCAATACCATAAATCTCTTTTGGCTTAACAGTCGAATAGCTAAGAGAGTTAGGACTTAAAAAAAAATACAGAAACACAGTTTATGCCGTGTTCCTTATACCAAAGGAAAAAAAATGTGTTTTTGAAAATAAAGTTTTAACTGCTTTGCAAATGGGAAAATGTTAGCAGAAGGAGATGCTGTGTAATTAAAATACTAATTAAATATGCAAGTGACCCTGTATGTTTTGTGCGAAGGTTGATGGTAGTTATGATTGTGTAGAATAATAAACCTAGCTTGCTGACTGTTGAGCAGTAATCCATGAATCAAAAGGAAGAATCTCCTGTAGCCCTATTATATTGCTTACCCCATTGCACTGCAGTGATTTGACTGTGTTTATCAACAGAGTAAGAGGAAGGGAGGGATGTCTTCTTGCTCACATCAGTGTCTA